ATGGCTCCATGATATTTGGATTGTTTCTTTCTACTTATTTGCAATACTTTCTCCTTGACCTGAGAGCTCTGGAATGTGGCTATTATGTTCCTGGGAGTTTTCATTTTGGGATTTCTTTCAGGAGGTGATAAGTGAATTCTTTCAATTTCTATTTCATCCTCTGGTTCTAGGATATCAGGGCATTTTTTCCTTGATAATTTTTTTTAAATATGATATCCAGATTCTTTTTTTGATCAAGGTTTTCAGGTAGTTTAATAATTTTTAAATTGTCTTTCTTGGATCTATTTTAGAAGGCAGTTGCTTTTCCAATGAAATATTTCATGTTTTCTACTATTTTTTCACTCTTTTGATTTTGTTTTATTGTTTCTTGACTTCTCATGGAGCTCCCACTTGCCAAATTCTAATTTTTAAGAAATCATTTTTTTCAGTGAGCTTTTATACCTCCTTCTTGATTTGGCAAATTTTACTTTTTAAGGAGTTATTTTCTTTGGTTATTTTTTGTGCCTCTTTTTCTATTTGACCACTTCTGGTTTTTAAGGAGTTTTCCCTGTTCAATGGGTTTTTGTGTCTTTTTCCATTTGGCCTATCCTGTTTTTAAGGTGCTGTTTTTTCAGTATTTTCATGCCTCCTTTATCAAGCTATTGCTTCTTTTTTCATGATGTTCTTGCATCACCCTCATTTCTTTTCCCTATTTTTTCTCTACCTCTCTTATTTGATTTTTAAAACCCTTTTTGAGCTCTTCTAGTAATTCTTTTTTTGGACCTGAGACCAATTTACATTTTTCTTTGGATGTGGCTTTATATATAGCTGCTCTGATTTTGTTAGTCTTCTTATGAATTTGTGTTTTGATCTTCCCTATCACCATAGTAACTTTCTATGGTCAGGTTCTTTTTGTTTGCTCATTTTTCCAGCCCATTTCTTGACTTTTAACTTTATGTTAAAGTCAGGCTTTACCTTCAGGGTAAAAGGAAGACTGTCCCAAGCTTCAGATTTTTAGTATTGCTGTTTTTGGAGCTTGTTCTTGGGCTTTGTAAGTTTTCATTTCTTCCAAGGTGATTTGATCTAAGAGGTGTGGTCATTGTTCTCCTGGTCTGTACTCTTGTCTCTGGGGGACCACAAGCACTCTTTTCTTCCCTGGAACTGTAGCCAGGGTCCTGCCCCTGCTAGTGCTCCTCCTCACCCTGGGACTACAACCTGGAATGACAAGGCAACAGAGTCCTTCTCCCAGGGCCAGCAAAGAGAGTACTGTAATCTTCTAACTAGTTCTCTGACACCCTTATTATCTATGCACTGAGAGCTCTGGAAGCTACCACCTTCACAGATTCAGTGGCCCCCAAGACCTGGTGTTGGCTTGCCAAGGCAGGGCCTACACTGTGCATAGCCTGCCTATGCTCAACTGTACTCCATTCTCACTCTAGTAAGACAGACTTTTCCTACTGACCTTATAAGTTGTCTTGGGCTGGAAAATTGTTTCACCTCATCCTTTTGTTGGTTCTGATGCTACAAAATTCATTTTGAGGTATTATTTTAACATTACTTGGAGGGTAATTTGGGAGAGCTCGGGTGAGTCCCTGCCTTTACTCTGCCATCATGGCTCTGCCTCAAGTTGTTGATTTTAGATAAGCATTTTTGATCACATTAAGGAAAATTCTCTTAATTATTATCTTTCTTAATATTTTTAACTTACATAAATGTTATTTCTTGGACACCTTTGCTTCACCTGTTAGTAAAATCATGTTTTTTCTTATTTTTTATTATTATGCTAATTGTTTTTTAATGTTAAATAATTCTTGTATTCCTGATATGAAACCAACTTATTAATGGTTGATATTTTTGCAAATATTGTAGTTTTCCAGGATTTTATTTAATAAATTTTAGTTTAAAATGAATATTCATCATTACTATTGATCTAAAGTTCTCTTTCTTTGCTATATCATTTCATTTGGAAGGGGAGGCATTGGTACCATATTTGTTTTAAAGAAAATATAGATTATAGGTTGATCTCATTTCCTATTTTTGAAAGATTTGTTTAATACTCTGATAATTTGCTCTTTGAATATTTAAAAGAATTTATTTGTACATCCTCATGGTCCAGGAGAGGTTTCACACCTCCCATAGAAATTTAATATATAACTGACTTAATTTATCTTTCCTATATGTGGTTGATAAGGTTAATTATGGAATTTTATCTTCTTGTAAATAATCATCTATTTAATTTGTTTTCACTTATGTTCATATGGACTGGAAATTTTCATGACTTCCTCTTGATTTCTTTTGAATTGTCCTTGTTAAGTTTGACTTCTGTAATTTTTTGTCTCTTTTTAAATCAAATTAGCTAACCACTTATCAATAATATCTCCTTTTTCTTTAAAAAAAAGTTCCTTTTCCATTAGCGTAATTATTTGTAATTTTAATTTTCCATACACTTATCTAACTTTGATTTTCCAAATATCTTATTTTATACTTGTTTTAAGACTCTTAATTTTCTTTTAAATTTTTAATTGTCTTATCAATAAATCAATCCTCTGATCTTTATTAATATGTGTTCCGGGATATAAATTTTTATTTCTACAAGTCAATTTAGCACAAATCTCTAAATTTTGGTAAAATGTCTCATTATGATTTTTCTAGTTAATAGACAATTGTTTCTTAGTTTTCACCAAGAAAGACATACGGAATATTCAAGGAGGACCAGCACATCTGGTGTGAGGGCTTTTAGAACCCTCTCCAGGGCTGTTTATCTACCTTTGGAATCTACCTGTCACTCGACTCTCACCTGTGGCTCCAAGAAGTTATAGCATGTGCAGTGGCCATACTTCAATAAACCATCATAGCAGATGGGTTAAACCAGGTTTAGGGTAACCAACAGGACCCAAACCCATCAGTGAGTGGGGGGGGAGGTGTCTACCCCAAGGCTGTGAAGACTTTCCCCAGCAAAATGGGTGGATGAGAACAATTTGTTCCAATGGTCATGAAGGCAGCTGAAGCAGGCACCTTGGAGCACTTAGAACTAGGTCAGACACTGAAGACACCAAGATCATCCACTGCATCTTGGGCCATTGACAGTCATCTTGACTTTTGTCCTGCCACTGGACTTCTATGATCTTAGAAAAAAGAATGAAACTGACTGACAAATTTATGTAACTCTGCCTCACTTAAATCCAATTCATGCATGAGTCAAGATATCACCCTCTGATGTCATTAGTCCTCTTCAAAAAATGAAGGACAAACAACAATTACTTGCCCAAATCCCAATCTATATGACTTGATCTTTTACTACTATTTCCTATAGAAGGTGAAACTTTAGCTGGAACTTGAACAAAGCCAGGGAAACTGAGGACAAGGAAAGCAAAAAGGTGAAAAATGAAGGGAGAGTATTCCAGGCATGGTAGACAGCCAGCAAAAATACTCAGAATTGGGAAATGAAGTGTCTTGGTCAATGAATACCAAGGAGATCAGTGTCACTGAACCAAAGAGTATATTGGGAGAAATGGAGTGTAAGATATAAAAAAAAAACTGGAAAAGTTGGAAGGGCAAGTTATGAAGCACCATAAATGTTAAAGAGAAGATTTTATGTTTGATCTTGAAGGTAATAGGGAAACTCTGAGATTATTGAGAAAAATAGGGACATGATCAGACCTGCATTAGTGAAGGATCACTTTGGCAGCAGAGCAGAGGGTGAAGTAGAAGCAGGAAAGTATAAGATGCATTGTGGAGAATAGGAGGCATGTCAAAAGTGCTGAACACTTTCTGAAGAAAAAAAAAACTTCTTACCTTTTTCTCCTGCTCCAGTGAAATATCACACTATTTCTTTCTCCTTTCATAGGATATGAGGATTTAGAACTGAAAGGTGACTTAGGGATCATCTAGGTATTGAAACTTTTATTTTACAGATAAGGAAAATGAGGAATAGATAAGGAAAGTGACTTACTACTGCAGGTCATATAATAAGTATTAAGTAATAGAACAGAAAAATGAACTCAAGTTCTCTGACTCCAATTTACAAATGATTTTACAAGAATGATCTTTAAAATTCTTTGTGGTTCTAATGTTCTATAATACCATGAACCCTCATTATCTTTCTTTTTCTAGTCATCTTCTAGGTTGAATTTCATCTCTGGTTGTTATTATCTGCATGACTTAATACTTTGCCTATGCCTTAGATTCTTCATTTGCAGAATGAGGTAGCTGAACCTGTTGGCCTCTCAAATCCCTTACAGTTCTCTGTCTCTTATCCTCAATTGTATTTTTCTTCTCATCCAAGGACCCCAAAATCTCTTGAATAAGCCAATACTTGGGCATTTCTTAAGCTCTTTTACCTACTCCTCTGTCAGGGAAATATGATTATAGTTATTACACACACAATCTGTGGTCCTTCAGACAGGGAAACACAAAGGACATATGTTGAATGACACTGAGAGAGTTCCCTCAGTGTCCACATCTGGTTTTCACATTGAAGTGTAACCTTTTGCAGCTCCCCTGACAAACTTTCCCTGAATAAAGCCTGTTTGCCTCTTGCCTCTTTGTTAAATATGTGATTAGGACTACTTATTATCTTTAAGCCAACATAGCTGGTTCTCTCCCCTTCAATTGTGAGCTTCAGTTAATACATTGGATGTTGGGAAGAAAATATTGCTTATTTCCACAGCTGCCTTAGGCCATCTAATGATGGATTTATGAATTAGTCATTAATTGGTTTTAAAATGTCATCACCCTGGCAACTCTGCCTACTGAAGTTGTGAAACCTGAGCAAAAGGAGTCCTTTACTGACATGCTGGTGGTAAGGTTAACATTCTTTTATTGGGATCTTATTCTAAGGTTGAAAATTATGGGAAAGATAAATGTAACATTTATGAAATTTAAGCACACTTTTGAGAATCAAAATAAATGCCATATTCTGAGAGAAGTAAAGGTTGTCTTAAGTTCATATATGTGAATACAGAAACACATCTGCCATTTTATTCAACCATGTTTTCTTTTCCATTTTGTCCCTTGAACAGATGTTCATGATAGCCCTGTCATTCAGTTGGATTTGCAAAGCACTTGCAGCAGTTGTTATGAAAGCTTCCATCACTCAGATAGAAAGAAGATTTGGCATGACATCATCTGAAGCTGGTTTAATTGATGGAAGCTTTGAAATAGGTAATTTTATTTCATTAAAATCACTATTACCTAGTCCAGGGGTGGGGAACCTGTGGCCTTGAGGCCACATGTAGCCTTCTAGGTCCTTGGGTGCAGACTTTTGACTCAGTCCAAATTTCAGAACAAATCTTTTCATTAAGAAGATTTGTTCTCTGAAGTTTGGATTCAGTCAAAGGGCCACACTTGAAAACCTAGAGGTTTGGCCTTGAGTTGGCAGGTTCTCTACCCCTGCCCTAGTCTCAAGTCTTGGGAAGAAAAACAACTTTGCAGTTTTGACCTCTAACGAATTAATTGCTGTCTAGTTTCATAGTGAGTCTTTGACATTGTTATATCTGTGTCTCTGTGTCTCTGTCCCTCTCCTTTCCTCTCTCCATCTCTGTCTCTGTCTGTCTGTCTCTGTCTGTCTCTTCCAAAATTTCTGCCATCAAATATACATAGCATTCCACTTATTAACAACAAATTACAAAACCTCTTTATTGTATCCCATTGCCACCCTCTATTTATTTCTCTTTTTCTTTGCTGACAGACTTCTGAAATAAACTTTGAAAATGTTAAAGTGGTAGTGAGATAAAAATTGCTGTTTTAATAATTATAACCATACAAAATTGGATTAGGTTGCCTCAGGAGATAATTGATCTCTTCCTCACTGGATATCTTCAAAGGATAGCCTATGTAAAATATATGGTAGAGAGAATTCTTATTCAGGTTGGAAAGGAAATGTTAGTCTCTTCCAAATCTGTGGTTCTAAATCAGCTATAAAATCTCTATTTTTTTTCTTATTCTCTCAACATCAGATGGCACAGGGAATACCCCAGCTTCTCATTGTCCAACTAATTGCTCAGCCACAAATATCAGTGCATAGAGAGTCTCTCTTTGAAACCTCTCTCTCTCTCTCTCTCTCTCTCTCTCTCTCTCTCTCTCTCTCTCTCTCTCTCTTTCTATTAACCTTTATTGCTACATCAGCTAGGTCTCTCTGTGAATGATCTCACCTTATGTTTCTGTTAGTAATCAAATTCTTATTCTTTGTCTGTAATCAGGCAAACTATATTTATCACAAAATCATAGACCAATGTAGCTAAATGGTGCCATAGAAAGTGTACTGAACCTGGAATTAGGAAGGTCTGCGTTTAAACCTGGCCTCACTCTTACCAGCAATATGACCCTGGGCAAAGTACTTAACTTTTGTTGGTCTTAATTTCCTCATCTGTAAAATGGAGACAATTATAGCACCTACCTTCTAGGATGGTTGTAAGAATAAAATGAGGTATTTATAAAGTGCTTTGCAAACCTTGAAACACTATACAAGCTATTATTAATTATTATTTCCCCAGTTATTAAACTAAAAGTTCTTTAATTCTTCATATTCAGATCACTGAAGCAGATTATATTTTCCAAGCACTCTAATGTTTTTTCTACTACTTGCCATATAAAAATGAGCAACTATCTCAAAACTCTGAGTCAAACATAACTCACTACCTTTATCCACTAGAACTTGTAAGTAGACCTATCCTCCATAGGATTGTCAAGGTAGATTTAACTCAACAATTGCTCTTCACAGAATCAGATTTAAACCTCTGCCAAGTGAGAGTCCCTTACATATATATTCATACTGTTTAACTTTTGTCATATATTTGGCATTGCTGAGAAGTTAACTCATTCCTAAAACATAACTAGTTGTATGGTAGGGTGACTATGTCACTGGTGATCAAGAGATCTAGGTTCTAGTCAAGTTTTTGCCAAGAAGAAGTTCTGTGACTTCAAGTAGTATTTAACCTCTGTTGAGTTTCTTCATCTATAAAATAGAGTGGTTAGACTAGATGATATGTGAAGTGACTTCCAGCTCCAGAATTCTAGGAATTTATAATACCCTGGTTTTCTTCCTGTCTCCCTAACAATATTTTTATGGTCTACTTCATTTCTTTCCCCTGTATTTTAACTACAGGTTTTCCTCTTCAGTTCTTTACTATTCTACCTTCATTAGAAAACTTACTTATTCCAAAAGGCTTTAGATATTGACTGCTTCACAAATCTTGATAACATTTGATTTCCATGTCCATATTACAATCACCACCTGTACATCTCTATTTCAGTGTCTCATTCTACCTGAAACTCAAAATGTTTAATCAAAAACTCATACACTAAATGTAAATTTCTCAACAAAATCAGTTATTCATTCTTCTTCCTATATTTCCTATTTCTGTCAGTGATACATTGATGATACAATAGAATGTGAGCTTCTCAAGGTTCAGAATAAAACTGCTGTGTGAATTATTTGGAACAAGGTAAATTAACTTCTTGTCTTACAAAATAAATCTTTAAAAGTTTTCTTATATCTTTTAAAAAAAGTTTTAGCATGCAATATGCTCTACCTTTTTATTAATCACTTATTTTTCATGATTTGGTTTTGTGATTGTATCATATATTCTTAAATTCTTCATCAGAAAACTATACTTTTATTATATTAGATATCAGGCATACTTTTGATAAACAGTCCATTTTTCTAAACCTGGTCTTGATTATAGCTCATAGTTTTTCAAATGAGTATAAATCATATGAATTCCTAGTCCATTGAAAACTGTTTATTTACAATCTCTTAGATAAATATTGTAACCTTACATGATGTGTGACATGGTGAAAAGTCATGTTGCAGTATTCCATTTCCATTTGGGCATCTCTGTGATTTTTTTTAAACAATTCTACTTCTCAGTAAACCAACATACTTATTAGAATCCATCATTTTCTTAATAGGGATAAAGACTCCAGGAACATTGGATACAAAAAAGATACCTAATATGTGTGTGTGTGTGTGTGTGTGTGTGTGTGTGTGTATGTTTCACAGTATGATGACTATGCTCAGATTTTAAGCTTCCTTGAACTTCTGAAGATATTTTTATTTGTATAGCCATGAATACAAATGTGAGTTTAACTGGGAGAAATTACTTTCCTTATTGCAATATTCAGTACCCCAATATTCAGTACCTTTGTAATTCCTGATCTGTAATTAGCATTTTTTCTTCATGGCAATGGTTAAAAGCTTTTTTTGTCCTTTTAAAATTTTTCTTCTGGTTATTTTTCTTACTTCAAGGAAACTATTCTACCCTGTAAAGGAGTTAGCAATAGCTTCAATAGCTATCAGATTCCTTGAAAGGATTTGTTTGTATTCTAAAGATTAAATGAGCTCTTTCAATAGATTGTCCCATTTGGGCATTTTTTTTTTCATCTCAACTACACTTTCCTTCTACTTTGGTGCTACTAATCCTGTGGATTTTTCTGTAATAAACTTACCAAGTATATTAGTCTATCCTTAGACATGAGCTAGATGTTGTTTTGGAATAGCTTGCTCATTCCCAGTCAGCTAAATCATTTGGTCATCATGAATAACATGTCATGTTCGTTATCATCCTTTTCATGAGCCTTTGCTGGTTTTCTTTCCTCGTTTCTCTCCAAATAAAACCTATTATACTTTCAAGACTCAGCTTAAGTTTAACCTCCTCCATGAATACTTCTTAATTATCTTTCCCTTATTTGGATTCTATTGTACTATTATTATTTTACTTAGGACCACACAATTAACCAAGTTTTCCATTTCATATATGTTCATTTGGTGTTCTCAGATTCTAAGTTTCTTGAGAACAGAAATGATACTTTTTGGGTGGGGTAAGCAATGGGGTTAAGTGACTTGCCCAGGGTAACACAGCTAGTAAGTGTTATGTGTCTGAGGCAGGATTTGAACTTAGGTCCTCCTGAATCCAGGACTGGTGCTCTATCCACTGGGCCACCTACCTGCCCCAGCAGAAATGATACATTTAATACTTAATTTTTCATTCCCCCTGTAGCTGCCAAATACAATGGCCTCACATAAGAAGTGATCAAGTCATACTGTACTTGGAGAATTAAATTATAATGAAATGCATTTTTTCTTCTTCTAGGCAATTTACTGGTGATAACGCTGGTAAGTCATTTTGGAGCCAAATCACACATTCCACGGATAATTGGAACTGGGTGTTTAATTATGGGAATTGGAAGTATTTTAACTGCATCACCTCACTTCTTCATGGAACAGTAAGTATTTAACAATTGTTGTTATTGTTGTTCAGTTGTTTCAATCATGTCTGACTTTACATGACCCCATTTGTGGTTTTCTTGGAAAAGATGCTGGAGTGGTTTGTCATTTCCTTCTCCAGTTCATTTTACTGCCCTAAGTATTAAGCAATAATCATTTTTAAATATAGCAGAATGCCAAATCTTCAGACTTGTTACAAAACAATTTCTCTCTCAGAAAGTTCTCTAAGTTTATGAAAATATGGGGTAAACTTTCCTCATACATTAGTATAGATGACAGCTATTTTTACATCCTATTTAGGGTCATGAACAACAACTGAAAAGGTTTGAGAAATGACAGGAAAGTGAATGAAAACTTATAAATTTTCATTTAATATACATTTCATGTCTGTTTTTATGGATTCCATAGAAACCAGTAGAATTTAGCTTTTGAGTAAGGAGAAAAAGCATTAGTTGAGGAATTTAATTGGCAATTAACCAAATGAATATTTCACTTGTATAAGAAAGAAAGGGCAACATGGATGAGGTAATTGGATAATCTCTAAGATTACTGCCATCTCTAACATTCTATGTGTGAAATTAACAGAAACATGTGTGGTAACAGTTTCACATTTTCTTCAATGTAGATTTTGGGGAATGCTTTTAAATGAAGAATTACAATAGGTAGAGATTACTGTACCTTATGAAGCCTTAGTGAGTGAGATACCACAATTTGAAAAATATTCTCCTATTGGCAAAACATATATTTCCTTAGCAAAGGGAATTAGTGGCTCTGTAAGTCAATCAATTACTCAATCAACCACAACTATTTATCAAAGAAAATTACAGTGTCTGTCTTTAAAGACTATAGGACATGGTTTCAAAGTATGCACATGTAGATGTATGCATGAATACATGTGTACATAAACACACAAACAAATATGTGTATGGTTAGAGAGAGAGAGAGAGAGAGAGAGAGAGTGAGAGAGAGAGAGAGAGAGAGAGATCTTACCCTGGGTGAAACGTTCAGTCAAAAGTTGTCTTGAATTAAAGAGAATTGGGTATTGTTTTAGAGGAGGTAGTTATGACATTGCCAAAATCAGGATAAACCTGTTACTCTGCTTCAGGATTTCAAGGACCAGAAATAATCAGTATAAATATAACATTTGTTGATAGCAGACTTAGTTCTATAAGAAAAGCATAAGATGTGTACACACCACCAACTCACTGCCATCCCAGCTTCTCTCATAGACCCTAATTGTGGGAAGAGAAGTCAAACATATGTTTGTTAAATGAAGAGAATTGGTTGAATTCAAGCAACTAGTGCCTTACTCTCTCACTTCACTATTACTTTATATATAGTTTGTGTATATTTTTGTATACTTAGTTGTATATGTTGCCTCCCCTAACAGAATGTAAAATGCTTGAGGACATGAATTGTTTCATTTTTACTCTGTGTTCCCTGTACCTGACATATAGTAGGCATTAATAAATGTGTTGGTTAACTGAGTCAAATATTCATTAATCACTCTAGCTGACACTCTGAATGCCTCTTTCCCTCAACTCTTGGGCAGAAGGCATTATGTCTAATTGACCTACATCATGTAAAGCAAATTGTACTTGTGTACTTGTGTTGGGTACTTTTCCTTTACTTTCTATGGTTTTCCATCTTCTGATTATTTGTGGAATCCAGCTAGGACAACTGTTTTGCTCCCCTGATGCTAAATGACTATGATTTGCCTTTCTGATCAGTTTAATGCATAGATTAATAACTAACATATTCCTATAATAAGCAATGAGGATCCACATCTTTGGCCCCATCTTCATATACGCCAAATGGAATATGCATATGCACACACAAACACAACAGAAATGAAACTTCCCCTTCGTGGTATTTAAGGATTTCTTTTAGTCTTTGGTTGCTGGTTCTACTTGGGAAAGATCATATTGTTATTCCTGGAAGGCATTCCTAAAGCATTATTATCCACCATTATTCATTTGAAAATAGTGCATTATAAAATTGGTCAATAGGATGATGGCATATAAAATAGGAATAACTTATTTGGCAATGCTTTCTTTAATATTTCAATTATATTATTATAGTTACAAGTATGACTCAACATTAAATGGTAAGCCCCTTGAGAACTCAACAGCCATCTACACTCCTTGCTCAACTGATCTCAATTCAACTAGCAATAACAAATCATCTGTACTATTAGAGTCAGGTAAGCATGAATGATCATTAATACAAAAGAAAATATTTAAGAAAATGTTTCAAGGATAGATGTATTTCTTTCTCCCCAGGTAAATTATTTAGTTGACTATGAAAAATATATCTGACAACTAATTGGACTAATAAAATTAAGGTCAAATTAAAGATATATAAACATGTTCAGGTAGAACAATAACATAGGTGCATAAATATATTATACTAACAAACCAAACTTCTTATGTTCAAAGGTTGCAAAAATGAATCTGCTTTACCCATGTGGATATACGTGCTGATGGGAAACATGTTACGTGGGATTGGGGAAAGTCCAATTACACCCCTGGGAATCACATACATTGATAATTTTGCTAATGAAGGACATTCTGCTTTTTACATAGGTAATGTACATTTGTGATCCTTGGCCACATTGAATCCTTTGACTCTATTCCTGTCTTCCAGGGGCAGATGACTCTGTGATTAGCTCACTTCAGTCTCACCTTGGAAAAGACTCATCTTACTCTAATCCCTAAAGCCTGATCCCTAAAAATATCACATGAAAACTTTTGTAGAGAATAGTGAGAAATATTTGTATGATTTTACTACCAAACAAGATGAAGAAACATTTAGGTGGTTAAAATAAGAAGAACAAAATTGTAAGAGGTATAATTATCAATTTTTTTCCTATATGCACAACTGGAAAAAAAGCATATTCTTTTTTAATCCTACCTCACCTTCTTCCCTGACCCATCTTCTTGTTTTATCTCAGTTCAGCAAGCTCATCTAATATGGGCTGGACATTGAGTATAGTCTTGAGTTTTTAACTGATAGAGATTCAGTTTGATTGGGCTGATAGCCTTTCTCCAACTGTAGATATGGCTATGAAGTCCCAAGACTAAAGGAGAAAACTTTAAATCTCCTTCATCTTGCCTTTCTTTCCCCTGCTCTTCCTAGCTAAAGACTTTTGTCCTTGGCCTTTGGCTTATAAGGAACTTAAAGCCAACTTTTTATCCTTTGTTTCTATAATCTAGATACAACCCTAAGGAAATTGTAACATTGACCCTAGCTCCCTAGATGAAAAAGACCTCCCATGTTAAGGAACTAAGCTTCAACCTTCTTGCCCAAACTTCTGACAGTCATCTTCCAGCATCTCCTAGAACTTTGATGACAAATGCAGGATCTCACCCTCAACTTGACATTTATTAAAGCATACCCTTACACAGTTTGTTTATAGATGGCTCTGCCCATTGAGAACTAATTGTCTCTGCTATTTACTGTTGTAAACTTGTCCCTGAACTCACTACTTCCTAAAGACTATGTGACCCAAGACATGAGATGAATATAGTGTCCTCATGATTGAAATGGCCTTTTAATATACCCTCCCATGTCTTTTTCATCTCTTGTGTTCACATCATCATCCAGAGACTAAATAACACAAGCATATTCTTCCACCAGTAAGTGGGTTGGGAGAGTTATAATTGTAGAATTAGAATGTGTAGCTGTAATCACTGTTTCAAATATGTTCTGCCTTGATTACCCTTATAATAATATTCCATCAATATGTTCTTTTGATGAAAAAGGAATTATTTTTAAATAATATTTTATTTTCTCCCAAATACATTTAAAATCAATTTTAACATTTTTTAAAGTTTTGAGTCCTAAATTCTACCCTTCTTCCCTGCCCCTCCTTGAGATGTTAAGCTATCTGATATAGGTTATACATGTGCAGTCATGTAAAACATTTCCATATTAGTCATTTTGTAAAAGAATACTGGAAGGAAGGAAGGAAAGAAGGAAGGAAGGAAGGAAAGAAGGAAGGAAGGAAGGCAAGAAGGAAGGAAGGAAGGAAGGAAGGAAGGAAGGAAGGAAGGAAGGAAGGAAGGAAGGAAGGAAGGAAGGAAGGAAGGGAGGGGGAGAAAAAGAATGAAGAAAGAAAGAAGAAAGGAGGGAAGGAAGGAAGGAAGGAAAGAAGAAAGGAAAGAAGAAAGGAAGGAAGGACAGAAGGAAGGGAGGGAGGGAGAAAAAGAATGAAGAAAGAAGGAAGGAAGGAAAGAAGGAAGGAAGAAAGGAAGGAAGGAAGAAAAAGTATGCTTCAGTCTGTATTAATATGTTATCAGTTCTTTTTCTGAAAGCAGATAACATTTTTCATCATGAGTCCTTTGAGATTGTTTTGGATCATTATATTGCTGAGAATAACTAAGTCATTCCCAGTTCTTCATCCCACAATACTGCTGTTACCATGTATAATATTCTCCTGCTCATTTCATTCTATATCAGTTCACATAAGTCTTCTGAAATTATCCCTCTCATCATTTCTTATAGCCCAATAATATTCCATTACAATCATATACCATAACATGTTAACCCTTCCCCATTTGATAGGTATTCCTTCAATTTAAAATTCTTAACCACTAGAAAAAGAGCTACTATAAATATTTTTGTACAAATATAGGTTCTTTTTCCTTTTTATTTTATCTTTTAGGGATACAGACCTAGTGGTATTGCTGGATCAAAGGGTATACACAGTGTATAGCCCTTTGGACATAATACTGAATTGCTCTCCAGAATAGTTGGATCAATTCCCACCTCCACCAATGGTGCATTAGTATCCCAGTTTTCTTACACCCCCTGCAACATTTATCATTTTTCTTTTCTGTCATATTAGCCAAATTGATATGTGTGAAATGTTGCCTCAGAGTTGTTTTAATGTACATGTCTCTACACAATAGTGATTTAGGACATTTTTTTCTTATCACTATAGCTAGCTTTGATTTCTTTGTCTGAAAACTCCTGTTCATATCCTTTGATCACTTATCAATTGGGAAATGATTTGTATTCCTATAAATATGACTCTGTTCTGTATATATTTGAGAAGAAAGCCTTTATCAGAGATGCTTGCTGTAAATTTTTCCCCCAGTTTTCTGCTTTCCTTCTAATTTTGGTTGCATTGGTTTTGTTTGTGTAAAACTTTTTTTTAACTTCACAGAATTAAAATTACCCATCTTACATTTTGTGATGCTCTCTATATCTTGTTTGGTCCTAAATTTTTCTCTTACCCATAGGTCTGACAGGTAAACTATTCCATGCTTTCCTAATTTGCTTATGGTTTCACCCTTTATGTCTACATCATGTGCCCATTTTGAACTTATTTTGGTATACAATGTGAAATGTTGATCTATACCTAATTTCTGCCATACTGTTTTGCAGTTTTCCCACAGTTTTTGGCAAATAATGAGTTTCTGTCCCCCCTCCAAAAAAAGGAATTGTTTTAAAGACAGCTATTTCTTCAGTGGATGATCATATCATGTTTTGTTTACAAAAAGAATTAATGTGTTAATGACACAGTGAAATCATGTTTTTTTGATAATGATTTAATTATTTTGTAATGTTTTCAGGCATTTTGCATTCATTGGCAGTGATTGGCCTAGCAACAGGTTTTCTTCTGGCATCATTATGTATAAAACTGTATGTGGACATTGGATATGTAGACCTAAGTAAGTACAAGATCAAACCAATATTTGTAGAATTTTATTCATTGTTCATCATTATTCTGAGGAATTTATTTTCTCATCCCATCTAACAGTATTGTGATATAGAATATTATATTTTTCCTATTTTACAAATTGGTAAACCATGACAATCAGGAACAAGAATATGTTTGGTGTTGTTTATATAATTCTAACAAAACCAATTGAAATTAACACATTCCAATAATCATTTGAATGCTTTTTATATGTGATCCAATAACTAATTTGGACAATTTCTCCTATCCTAAATCCAACAGGCATTTGTTGGAATAAACCATTCTTTTGAAAGAATGCTATATGAAAGTAAAAATCAATATAAAGTTATTAATTTGGCATTTGACAAGATGCCCTGAATATTGCACTTCACTTGGAAGTAGTTTGAACAATTTCACCTTATGCAAACTGAAAGATGTGTCCACATTGGGAAACTAAAACTGTTTTGATAATTTTTATCACTTAATACACTTTCTGTGTTTTTTCTGGTTAACTAATGTCTGGATCTGAATAATTGGATCTGATACATTTGTATTTCTTATTTTTAGAGTTACTGTGGAGAATAGCCTCCATAGGTCAAAGGAAAACACAGGAGACATCTCCAAAGTGCTATATAGCTAGAATTATTTGTATATCTGCTCCTTCTGGGACTCTTTATGTAACCACTTCATTCATAATGATCTGTAGCAAAATTTCTATTTATCCTGTGTAGTGATCACTCCTGACCAACTCCTCATGCTCAGGATTGACAGCCAGAATCCTTTGAGCAGAACCTCCCTCCCAAAGGTCACAGTCTAGGCTTTCCTTGTAGAGAGGTTCCATGGGGTGCCTCTGCATAACAACCTTAGGAAGGTTGCTTTTGAGACTGAGTTCCCTAGATCACTGTTAAAAACAGCTGAATATAAAATCTTAGACAAGTATAAGCTTGTTGATGAACATTCCCCTGTGTCTGCTGACTTCAGGATAGCAGAACTCAAAAATTTCCCATGGATAGTTGGATTCACCCCCAAAAAATTTATTTTCTATTTCAAAAGCCATTTAGCTTGTTTTTTTGTTACTCTATAAACAAATACACCACCCCTCAAAAATTTATCACCAACCACTGTTCAAGTTGTTTTAGCTATAGGTTAAGACAAATTGTTCATTAGTGATTAAGTTGATCAAAGATCCAGATCACCTGATTTCTAACTCCAAGCTCATTCAATTAAATTCATTAAATTCAACAAATATTCTTAAGCAACTACTGTGTACAGAATACTAAACAATGGGGAAGATACAAAGATGAATTAAAATATTGGCCCTTCATGGATACTATAATGTAGCTGCTACAAAAATAATTAGCTGATGACTATTTTTCTGTGAAGCTGGTCCTTGGAAAGCAGCAAAATAGTCCTTCAACTTCACTGGAAGATTTTTAGCTTGGTAGAATCTATCAGAGGTTTCATGGCCATTAAGAGTTCTTTGTCACAATAATAAGTAAGTGAAGCAAAACTGAACATGTCTGCCTGCCATAAGGTGAGCCAATCTTCAAATTGGTATGGTATGGTATCAAGTTGGCATTCCAGAGCCAATTAGTGTCCTTCATAATCCCGATTCTTCCCTAGTTCCTGATACAAGGTTAAACATATAACATGATGGATAATAATCTATTGATGATCATTATATTTAAGAAATTTTGCTTCACTTTCTACCCTGGTGGGAAAAAAGAGCATTTAACTGTGGACTGAAAAATACCCCAACACCTACCATTATGTATATCAACTTGGGTAAGTCAGCCACTGAGTTTCAGTTTCCTCTAAGACCTAGGGAGTTGAACTAGATGATCTCTAGGGTCCTCTGTGGCTCTGAAATTCTTATGATTGCTCCAGTGTTATTAGCAAAAAATCTTATCTCTATAAATAATTTAATTCTAGGTAAATAAATCCAATAGTGTTTGTTATTGTTCAGTCATTTCAATCATGTCCAGCTCTTCATGATCTCATTTAGGGTTTCTTAGTAAAAATCTAGAGTGGTTTGTCATCTCCTTCTCCAGCTCATTTTTCAGATGAGGAACTGAAGAAAACAGGGTTAAGTGAATTGCCAGTGTCAGATAAATAGTAAGTGTCAGAGGCTAGATTTGAATTCAGGAAGATGAGTATTCTATCCACTGACATTCTAACCACTTTGCCACCTAGCTATAAACCTGAAAGAGAAAAGCAATGTAGTAAGCTGAGCCTAATTCATTCTAGTCATCTCTTCATTAAGGTTATTAAGGATGAACTAGTTAGTCATTCAACACTTAACAAAAGTAAGTTTACTTAGCCAGAAAATAGAAAGAATATTCAATGAAAATAAGATAGCACATAGCCTGGGTAAACATGGGTTCCCTTCACCTACTTGAAGAAATGTATCTGATTGGCAGGGCTGGATAAAGTGACCCACTGGGCCTTGAGACATCTGCAAAGTCTAAAGGGTATTGGCTCCATATAGCTAGGTCTTTTATGTCCTGAAGTAGTCAGGAAGCCACATTTGTTTAGGCAAAAGGCATCTGGAAATTGCATCAATGAAGATATGACTTGAGCCTTAGCCCCCTGGGTTAATCAAGTCTTAAGAATAACTTTCTTGTCTTCTAGTCTTCAAATTTACTATGCCACACTACATTTCTGAAGAAGTATGTCAATGTGTTATTATTTAATTAGTTAGATTATATTTTAGAGGTATATTTCATTTTGAAGAATGTATAATTCTATGCCATTATTTGGGATTTATACAACTCCACTTGGAATTAACTGTTTAGCCTCACACAATCCTGAACCTCAAACAGTTGAAGACAGGATCTGGGCCTTATTTCATCTTTGTTAATTTGTTACCGTAGCACAGTCTTCAGAACATACCAGGTACTCAATACATGTTTGCTGCACTGTATCTTATTGAATTGAATCTAATGAATAGAATTATTCATTTCTTTTCCCATATAGTTTTGATATATGAAGTTTTACTAGAATTAATATTTTTCATTGATTTAATTGCATTTTGTATTATTATTCACATGAATTTTTCTTATTTGATTGAGTTTTCTCATTAGATAAAGATAAATGGGATTATTTAAATTTCAGTGAAAGAAAATGGTAACAATTCTTAAAATGACATGTTTGCATTGTGAATTTTTAAAAATTATTTTGTTATAGGTACTATAACAATAAAGCCAATTGATTCCCGTTGGGTTGGTGCTTGGTGGCTTGGCTTTCTCATAGTGGGAATCCTTAGTATTGCTGCTGGTATACCATTCTTTTTCATTCCTAAGAGTCTGGAGAAACCAACAAACAAAAGGAAAATCTCTGCATCTTTGGATATATCTAGTACCAAAGAAAATAGAAGCCGGAGGACAAATTGTAAAAATCCGGTGCAAACAAAGGAGTCTAAAAATTTGACAGGTGAATATTTAACATTTAGAACTAACTTTTATTTGTCTATGCAAATTAATGAAAGCAAATTGGTGTCCATGTGTATGTGATAGGAGGGAGGAAAGAAGGAAAATTTGAATTTTCACTGAATGGTAGGATAGTTGTTTTTTTTTCATCTCTCACATTAAAAGTGCAATCCACAGAGAGAAAGAGAGAAAATGCAATCTTAGAGCTGAAAGTAAGTTAAAGATCATCTAGTACAACCTTTTTATTTAACAAATGAGAAAACTGAGACCCAAATTAAATGGTTTCTCCAAAGGCATACAGAATTAGTGATAAAGCCAGGACTAAAACCCACATCTTCTTATGCTAGAGTAAATTGAACAAAATTTCAGAGAAATTTTATCTCACAGTCAACAATTTTCTTTCGATGCTAATAAGAGATTTACCCTGTGTCCTCTAGTATGTGCAGAAATAAATATTTTGTGTCAATTTGTTAAAGCCAAGACAGACATTTTTTGTTTAATATGTGTAAAGAATATTATCTATTCATTGGATCATAGGATTTAGAGTGGAAAGATCATCTAGTCCTGCCCCATAATTTTGTAGTTTAGAAAACTAGGGATCCAAAGAATAAAATAACTTGCCCAAGGTGACATATAGCATTTGGATTCAAACTCAGGTCCTCTGACTCCCAATCTAAGGACAATGATAACATGTTCCTGGTTACAATTTGGCTTAATTTTAACCTCTAATTTTTCTGACCATAGTCTGGGGTAGAATTAGACACAGACAAAGTTCATTTAGTTACATCATCATTCTTTTCCCCACTAATTCCCCCAAACATCAATAGCTTTAAAAAAATAGTTCCCATACTCTTTGTACTATGTTCCAATTATAATGGTCCAATGTATTGCCCCACTCCTCCTACTTCTTTCCCTCATCTTCCCCCCAACACACACACACACACACACACACACACAGACACACACACACACACACGTACACTGGACAACTGTATTCTTTGCCAAGGATTTTGTGCTGTTACACCTTGTCTGCAAAAGGAACTAAAGACATCTGGCTGTTCATTGACATAAGAGTGGGTGAACATAGGACAATGAATCATTCTATAATAGGTATAATTGGTCCATAATATATTTCCAATCATAAAAAGTGAAAAAAGTATATTACCATGGAAATATATAGCTCCAAAATAAGAAGAATTGGTTGTATGTTGGGCACAAGAAATAACACATGAAAAGCCAAAATGCTGCACTAAGATCCATAAAACAGAAAATGAACCAAAGACAAACCAGCAATACATTGGCTGGATCTTTTTGGGAGTTGCTATAGAACAACATGGCCAGAAGCTCACAGAATGAGAAAGCCCCTCCAATCCACCCAATAGCACTCTATCAATGGCAAGAGTATCAAGACTGATATGATTATAGATGCATTGAAATATTGAAGAAGTAAACTGGTATAATTACCAATACATTGGTGCTATCCTGATAAATACCCCCGAAGAATGACAGAAATATCTAAGGATACACTATCCTATAGCAGAAAGAACAATGAAATTATTCTCTCTGGAGCAAATCAGAAATAATCAGGCCATTAGCTAATACTGTGACCTTGGGCAAACTATCATCTTTCTGAGCCTCAATATTGTCATCAGTAAAAATGAGATTGCATTGGCGTATTTTCTAACTGAAGCATTCTGTGATTCTATGATTGTTTTATACCCAAGTCTACTAAGAGAGCTATTTCCTGAATATGCTGAATTATCTTTACCAACAAAGTCTCTTATTTTTTCTCCTAGGTTTTTTCCTCTCCTTGAAATGTATCCTTAGTAACTGGATGTACTTGATCTACTTGATTTCATCATTGTTTACCTTTAGTAGCTTTATTGGCTATATTACTTATCTGTCAAAATATTTAGAACAGCACTTTGACCAGTCAATGTCTAAATTGAACCTTTTACTTGGTAAGTCTGACTATTTGATTTTACTATATCATTTAGAGTGAACCATTGAAGATTAAGTAAAATTTTAAATTATTTACTCCATATTCAAGGTCCTCCTAAAGCTGGCACCATCCTATCTCTTAACCTTATTTCACATTACTACCCTCTCAAAAGTTCATGTTCCAACTAAAATGTATTATTCTTAACTAAAACTTCTTGCATAGCTCTGCATCTATACCTTTGCCCTAGTTTTTCCTATACTTGTAATATCCTCTTATCCTCCTCTAAATGTATTAAATTTGTACTGATATTTTGTTTTAATGTTCTTTTTGATATTTAATTTTTATTTTTTCTCAATTTTATGTAAACAAAAAATTTTAACATTTGCTTTTTAAAATTCTGAGTTCCAAATTCTCTCTGTCTCTTTCTTCTCCCCCGCCCTTTGAAAAGGCAAAGCAATTTGATGTAGATTATACATGTGCTGCCATCCAAAATATTTCTATATTAGCCATGTTGCCAAAAAATGCAAACAAAAAAAAGAATAAAAAAGAAACTTTTAAAAGTATGCTTAAATTTGCATTCAGGCTCCATCAGTTCTTTCTCTGGAGGATAGTATTTTTCATTATAAATCTTTTAGAATTATCTAGGACCATTGTATTGCTGAGAAAGCCAACTCCTTCATAGTTGATCACAGTACAATGTTGCTGTTACTATGTACAATGTTCTCCTGGTTCTGCTCACTTCACTTTGCATCAGTTCATGTAAATCTTTCCAGATTTTTCTGAAACCATTCTGCTTGTCATTTCTCATAACACAATAGTATTCCATCAAAATCATATACCACAACATGTTCAGCCATTCCCCAATTGATAGGTATCCCCTCAATTTCCAATTCTTTGCCACCACAAAAAGAGCTGCTATAAATATTTTTGTACATATAGCTCCTTTTTCTTTTTTTAATATGTGAGTGGTAGTGTTGCATTAAAGTGTATGCACAGTTTGAGAGCCCTTTGGGCATAGTTCCAAATTGCTCTCCAGAATTGTTGGATCAGTTCACAACTCCACCAATAGCGCATTAGAATCTCAATTTTTCCACATTTGCTCCAACATTTGTCATTTTCCTTTTCTATCACATTAGCCAAGCTGACAAGTGTGAGGTGGTATCTCAGAGCTGCTTGAATTTGCATTTCTCTAATTAATAGTGATTTAGAGTATTTATTTATATGACTATGGATAGCTTTAATTTCTTCTTCTGAAAACTGCCTATTAATATCTTTTGACTATCAGTTGGGGAATGACTTGTATTCTTATATTTGACATAGTTTTCTATATATTTGAGAGATGAGGCCTTTTCAAAGAAATCTGCTATAAATTTTTTTTCCCATTTTACTGCTTTCTTCCTAATCTTGGCTTCATTGGTTTATTTGTGAAAATACTATTTAATTAAATGTGATCAAAATTATCCATTTTATATATTGTAATGCTCTCTAGCTCATCTGGTCATAAATTCTTCTCTTATTTATAGATCTGACATGTAAACTATTCCATGCTTCCTTAATTTGCTTATGATTTCACCCTTTATGGCTAAGTCATGTACCCATTTTGACCTTATCTTAGTATATGGTATGAGATGTTGGTCTATACTTAGTTTCTGCCAAATTGGAAAGCAATTTTTCCCAGCAATTTTTGTCAAATAATGATTTCTTTTCCCAAAATCTTGGATCTTTGGATTTGTCAAATACCAGATTACTATGGTCATTTACTACTATGTATATACATAATCTTTTCCATTGATACACCACTCTATTTCTTAGTACCAGATTGTTTTGATGATTATTGCTTCATATTACAGTTTGAGATCTGCTAATGCTAAGTGAAAGCTAAAGGTAATCACATTTTCTTCATTCATTCCCTTGATATTGCTGACCTCTTGTTCTTCCAGGTAAATTTTGTTATTTTTTTCTAGCTCTATAAACTATTATTTTTGGTAATTTGATTGATATGGCACATAATAAGTAAATTAATTTAGAGTTATCATTTTTATTATATTGGCTTGGCCTATCTATGAGCAATTAATATTTCTCCAAATGTTTAGATCTGACCTCATTTGTACTAAAAGCATTTTGTAATTGTTTTCCCAGAGATCCAAGGTTTGTATTGGCAAGTAGATTCTCAAGCATTTTATATTGTCTGAAGTTAATATAAATGGAATTTCTCTTTCTATCTCTTGCTGCTGGATTTTGTTGGTAATATATACAAATATGAATGATCTATATGGGTTTATTTTATATCCTGAAACTTTACAAAAGTTCTTACTTATTTCACATTAAGTTTTAAGTTGATTCTCTAGGATTGTCTATCATATCATCTGCAAAGAGAGAAAGTTTTGTTTCCTCTTTGCCTGTTCTAATTCCATCAATTTCTTTTTCTTTTCTTATTGCTATAGCTAACATTTCTAGTACAATATTTAATAATAGAAGTGATAATGAGAATCCTGGCTTCACCCCTACTCTGACTGGGAAAGCTTCTGGTTTATCCCCATTACACATAATGCTTACTGATAGTTTTAGGTAGCTACTATCATTTTAAGGAAAGCTTCATTTATTCCTATCCTTTCCAATCTTTTTTTAATAGGAATGGGTATTATATTTTGTCAAAAGCTTTTTTCTGCATCTATTGAGATAATTATATTCTTTTTGTTGTTTTTGTTATTATTATAGCTAATTATTCTGATAGCTCACCTAATATTGAATGTAAATCACACTTGCTTATAGTGCATGAACTTTGTGATATATTGCTGTAATAGTCTTGCTGGTATTTTATTTAAAAATTTTTTATCAATATTTGTCAGGAAAATTTGTCTATAATTTTCTCTTTCTGTTTTCATTCTTCCTGTTTTAAATGCTAACAGCATATTTGTGTTGTAAAAGGAATTTGGTAGGACTCTTTTGCCTATTTTTCCAAATAGGTTTTATGGTATTGGAATTAGTTATTCCTTAAATATTTGGTAGAATTCCTACAGATTCTTTAAAGTCCAACTTAAATGCCACTTCCTGCAGGAAGCTTTATCTCATTGGTCAATAATGATTTCCCAGCTTGGACCTCATTTAACACTTTGTTTCATACTTCCCTTATTTGTTTACATAATATTGTGCATTATAGCTATCTGTATTAGACTTTCCCATTGTAGACTGTAAGTTTCACCAAGGCATGGACTCATGGACTCAGTTATATCTAAATGTTGTATTTTACAACCCTACCATAATGATTTTCACATAGCAAATCTTAATAAATGGTTGTTGGTTTAAAGAACTGAAAAATGATCCCATCTCCAATCCTTGCTAGCAAATTGCTTCCATAATCATCCTTGTTCACTTCTCAATATCTCCCTATCAATTAGCTCCTTTCTTAGACTCTAAAGACATACCTGAGATTCCCACCAAGTTCTCACTAGACACTCTCATCTCCTCAAGCTATTGTTCTACACCTTTTATCCCTTTCATGGACAAACTCTAAAGGAAAAAAAAAACTATCTATACTTATTGACTCCATGTCCTCTTATCTTACTTGCTTCTCAAACATCTGCAATCTGACTTTTGATCACATTACTCAGATAAAAATTCCTTCTTCAAATTTATTGGGGATCTGTCCATGGCCAAATCTGATGGCCTTTTCTCAGTCCTCAGATTTCTCGACTCCCAGTAATAGATGACATTGTTGATCATCCTCAACTCAACTCCTGGATACTTTCTCATCATGGTTACACTGTTCACTCCCTGTGCCTTACTATCTGTGTGTGTGGGCATGTATCTCTGTCTCTCTCTACTCCTCTATGTGTGTCATTGTCTCTGTCTCTATCTGCATGTGTATGTTTCTGTCTGACTCTGTCCTTCTGTCTCTCTCTGTCTCTGTCTCTATCTGTCTCTCTGTCTCTCTCTGTCTGTCTCTCTGTCTCTATCTGCCTCTGTCTGTCTCTGTCTGTCTCTGTCTCTGTCTCTCTCTTTTTCTCTCTGTCTCTGTCTCTCTGTCTCTGTCTCTGTCTCTCTCTCTCTCTCTCTCTTCCCCTTCTTCTCCAACCTTCCTGGTTACTCCTCAATCTCCTTTGCTCCTTCATCATCCATAGCATTCTCCCATCTATGGGTATTAATCAAGGCTAAAAACCAGTGTTGCACTTTGTCAAAGGCTTTTTCTGCATCTATTGAAATGATCATATGGTTTTGAATGTTTTTAAAATGATTAGTTATATTGATTGTTTTTTCTAACATTAAACCATCCTTGCATTCATGGAATGATATAAGGCTCACTTGATCATAATGAATGATTTCTTGGATAAATTGTTGGAACCTGTTTGAAACAATTTTGTTTAAAATTTTTGAGTCAATGATCATTAATGATATTTTCTTGCTGTGTTTTATCTTTCCCTTGCTTAGGTTTTAAGACCATGTTTGTTTCATAAAAGAATTCTGGTAGAGTTATTTCTCAATTTTTGAGAATAATTTGTGAAATATGAATGTTAACTGTTGTTTAAAAGTTTTGTAAAATTCTCCTATGAATCTATCAGGTCCAGGAGGCTTTTTTTTTGGTAGTTCCTTTACAGCTGTATCTATTTCCTTTTTTGAGTTCAGATTATTTAAGATCTCTATCTGGCCTTCTGGTAGCTTGGATATTTTATATTTTTGCAAGTATTCCTCTATTTCCCTTATGTTCTCATGTTAGTATACAACTTTGCATAATATGCTTTAATAATTCATTTTATTTCTTCTGATTTTGCTTTGATTTCACCCTGCTCACTTGCTATTTTGTCTATTTGATTTTCTGCTGTCTTCTTTTAATCAGATTAGCTAAAGGTTTATCAATTTTATTAGTCTTTTCAAAGAACCAGCTTTTAGTTTTATTTATCACATTCATGGGATTTTTTTTGTTTATAGTTAATCTATATCTCATTTTATGCTTTTTAAGGTTTATTTGTTGATTTTCTAATTTTTAAATGGAGATTCAGTTAATTAATCTTCTCTCATTTTTCTATTTTGTTATATATGGTTGTAAAAATGTGGTTTTCCCCTAAAGACTACTTTAGGTACCTCCAAGAAATTTTAGTATATTGTTTCATCAATTTCATTTTCTTTTATATAGTTATTGTTTCTATGATCTGTTCTTTGAACTTATCATTATTTTAGATTTCATTGTTAAGTCTCCATTTGGGTCTGTATCTTTTGTTCGTGGTCCCTGAAACAATTTCTATTTCTATTTCATTGTGATCTGTAAAGTATGTGTTTGCCATTTCTGCCTTTTTACATTTGTTTACAATATCTTTGGGCCCTAGTACATGGTCAATGTTTGTAAAAGTTCTATGTGGTGCAAAGAAATATACATTTTTTTTGCTATCTCATTTAAAGGGCATCAAAAGTCTTAACTCTATTATTTCCAGAAATTTTCAGTTCCATATTTTACCCCTGGTTTATCTGTTAGACTTACCCAAAACTGATAGGAAATTGGAGTCTTCTGTAACTATTGTGTAACTGTCTATACATTTCTGAAGCTCAGAAAATATTTCTTTTATGAATTTGGATATAAAGGCATTTGAAGCATAATTGTTTATTACTGTTCTAGAGTTAGTTTTATATTTTCTCCCAACTATCTTTAAATTTTTTTCAGGTTATGATTTTTCCCTTCTTCTGATATAAACTCAGTATTATATATCTTCAGTTACTTTATCTCAAACTTTTTTTTAAGGTGGTACTGTTCCCAATGGCTCTCTTCTCCTCCCTCCAATCTTTTCTCATTTGTTATCCCTTTCTCTTTAGGGTTTTGCTTTTACCTAGTTATATATTTCTTCCCCCTCTTTTTTCTTCTAAGTCAAGTAGTTCCCCCCCCCCACCTTTCTCTCCAAACCTTCAGCTAGTTCTGTTCATTACTTTTGGTTTTTTATTTTTAATTTCATTTTAAGCCCCTTTCCAAAGAGTATTTCTTTCATTTTCTTCATTATCCATCTTCTCTTTCAGTTTCTGTTTACTCTAGAGTCTAGACCCTCATTCTCTGATTTATCACCCCTATAATCATCTAGTCTCTCTCTTTTCTCTATAATCTTCATACAGTCAAAGTTTCCAAGATATCCATTCTAAGCTGTGCTCTCTAGGCACTTTCTGCCACTGCCTTGTAGAACTTACCATGTGGATTCCCCTTTTCCATTGTGCCTCATTCTCAGAACAATGCCTATTATGGCAGATGTCAAAGAGGACAGTGCCTCTTGGTAGTTCCCTTAGGGGGCTGGACCTTATGTCTCAGCCTCCTTTCACACTGGGAAATTTGTGTTTCACAAGCATCAGTCTCTGGCCCAATTGACTTTTAGGTGGTCAAAATTGGCCCCAGCTATTTGCTGTGCTCTTCTTTCAGGCTTAGTGGAGTGTCACATGGCTCCCCACCTACACAATGTCCTGTCCAGTGACCTATTCCATTCCCTCTGTTCCTTAGTTTTCTGACCCAGAACTGGCAGTTCAACACAACTGGCACCAACAATTCAGTCTGCTTTTCCTGGCACTAGCAGAGACTACATGTGGACAAGGCTGCTTTTCCTGGCCCTACCATTGGTGCTTCCAGGTTCCAGCAAACACTAGGCTTTAGCTCTTGAAAAGCCATGGCCAAAGTGGCTGTTGAGGCCCTGGGAAACTTCCACAGCCTAGATCAAGGGCTCTACTGTCCTGGAAAGAGGGAGGGGGCAGGAATATAGGGATGGGCTTTGATGTAAGTCTGTGTTAAGACCTTGGGTCTCCTAGTGCAGCCTTGATGCTGGTATTTGGGAAGTAAGGGAGGGGTGCTGAGTGAGCTCAGGGTCAGAGAGCATCAGTTCTTGGGTTTGTTTGTTTTCTTTTTTAACCTTCTTTTGGATTCCAGGTTCTTACACCATGAAAATAGCTGAAGTTGTTTTATCTTTGGTCTATAATTTCTGTTTTGAGGTTTTGAAAGATTGCGGGGATCAGAGAAAATGTCTAATCCACCATCTTGGGTCATGTGATCTGGAAGTTCCATTGCAGTCATTTTTATTAATACTTTCAGATATATGGAAAGGAAATTTCCTGATCTCATTTTGGAATATTAATTGGTTGTATATGTGTGTGTATACATATGTGTATATATATGTATATGTATGTATATTTTAAATCAGTGATAAAAAAATACAAAAACACTACAAAAGCACCCAACATAGACCAGCAAACCAGAAGATTCAGCTCAAGGGTCACATATAGCCTTTCCCCATCTTCGAGTTGGTAATATCCTCTTCAATGAGGTTTTATATCTATTTTGCATCTCTTTCAGAAGTATTTATGTAAGTACATGTTGTTTTCACTAGAGTGTAAGCTTCTTGAAGACAGGATCTGTTTTCACTTTTCCTTGGCATACCAATGGGTAATACAGGGCTGGCACACAGTAAATGATTAATAAATGTTTGTTGATTGATCAATTTATTAATTATGTTTTCAACTATATAGTATAAAACAAGTAAGGACCTTTGTCTCATGGTATGTGTTTGTTTAAGGAATTTGGGTTAGTGTTTCCACCACCATCAAATATATATGTAATATATTTCAGATTTCTTTTACATATTCTATCCACCATTAAAATGTAAGCACCTTGAGGGAGGGTTTGCTTTTGTTTCTGCTTATATTTTTATTCTCAGCACTTACCACAGTGCCTGGCACCTAGGAAATGCTTAATAAATGTATGTTTACTGACTGACCCGTTAGTGTGAACTCAAACAATTTAGATCTTATTTTTTAATTCATCAATTTATTTTTAATTTTCAATATTCACTTCAATAAACTTTTGAGTTTTAAATTTTCTTCCACTCCCTCTCCTCCTCTATGTCCAAGATGGTATGCAATCTGATATAGGCTCTACATACACATTCCTATTAAACATATTTCAAATTAGTAAGGTTGTAAAGAAGAATTAGAACCAATAGAAGGAATCACAAGAAAGAAACAAAACAAAACAAAAAAAGGAAAAAAGAAAAAAATAAGAACAAATCGTATGCTTTGGTCTGCATTCAGACTCCATAGTTATTTCTCTGGATGTGGATAATATTTTCTATCATGAGACTTTTGGAGAGGTCTTAGGTCCTTGCATTGCTGAAAAGAGCTAAGTCTATCAAAGTTAGTCAAGGCACAATGTGGCTGTTACTGTGAACAACATTCTTCTGGTTCTGCTCACTTCACTCAGCATCAGTCCATACACGTCTTTCCAGGTTTTTCTGAAGTTTGTCTGCTCATCATTTCTTACAGCACAATAGTATTCCACCACATTCATTTACCATAATTTGTTCAGCCATTCCCCAATTGATGGGCATCCCCTCAATTTCTAATTCTTTGCCACCACAGAAAGAGCTGCTATAAATATTTTTGTACATGTGGGTCCTTTCCCCATTTTTTATGATTTCTTTGGGATATAGTCCTAGAAACGGTATTGCTGGGTCAAAGGGTATGCACATTTTTATAGCCCTTTGGGCATAGTTCCAAATAAGCGATTTAGGTCTCAAGTAAGAAATAATATCAGAGTGGGCTAAGGCCTTTAGGTAGAGAGCATTAGGTTAGCAAGAAATGAAAAGGGGCTATGGCCTTTATTTGAAGAAAGAAAGAATCCTCTCCTGTCAATTGGGAAGGTATGATCTATGCCTGTTGTCATTACATTTGAATAGATGACTTCCTTTCCTATGTGAAATTATCAATCAGATTAAAGCTTAGCCTTTCAAAGAATATGAAAATGCATTAATGAGTTGAAGACTTTAATAAAAAAAATGCCTGTATTGCCCAACATATGCCAAAGAATTGTGGTTACATATTCCCAATTATTATTTTTCTTCTTCTCTTCTTTCTAGGAATAATAGCAATGCCTACAGTTAGTATTTCAGTTTTCTTGGGAGGATTTATTTCTAGAAAATTAAAATTGAAAACCCTTGGAATTGCCAAACTATTCTTCATTTCTCATATTTGTGCTATCACTTTGAAAGCCATGCTTCCGTCATTCAACTGTGAAAGAAGACTAGTAGCTGGCTTAACGGTAACTTATGATGGGTATGTAGCTATTGTTGATCATTTACATAATAATATGAATATGTAGTAACATAATGATATTATTGATCAATTTTAATTACACAAGAACAACTATTATTCAATCATATAGTTGTTTAGCATGTATAATTGTATAAATGTAATCATATGCTTTATTGCCATATATCATAATATATGATTTAACACATATATTATGTCATATATTGTAAATCTCATGTAACATATATTATTATATGATATAATATAGCTTATCATTGTATATTATATAATGACATATATTATGTAAATAAAATTATATTATATAATTATATAGCATAGTTTATCAATTATATGATAGTGTAATAAGCAGATGGTTAAGTAGTGCAGTGGATAGAGCGCTGGGCCTGGTGTCAGGAAGATCTAAGTTCACATCCTATCCAAGACACTTACTAGCCGTGTAGCCACTTAATCTCTGTTTTCATCAGTTTCCTCAATTGTAAAATAATGATGATACTAATAGCACCTACCTCCCAGAGTTGTTGTGAGGATCACATGAGATAATATTTGCAAAGTGCTTAGTACCAGGCCTGAAACATAGTAAGTACTATGTAAATGCTATCCATTATGGTGGTTTTTAAATTAAACATATACCACAAAAACAAAAGTCTATTTTGTACTATATGGTCCCAAACATAATTAATCAACTGATTTCCATCAAAAAATAGACCAGAATCATGGGACAAATTTTATACTTACCTAAAACATTTAAAATCATGAGGAATTTTACATATTTGTTCAATTATAGAAATAGATAGGGCTTAGAAAAAAGCATTCATGGTATAAATTCCCTATCAAGAATCCAAAGTACTCATATGAATCACTGAGATTTTTTTTTAAATCTTCAAAAGAAGATCCCACGAACATACTATTAATTCATTCTGAAGCTTAACAATTTCTGTAATAAAGATCTTCATAATATTAAACCAAATTTTCTTATTTTGTCAGCTAATAGCATTTCCTAATTCATTTTCACTAGAAGAGATAATAAAAGTACATATTTAAAGTTTATATAGTATTTTAAGGTTTGCAAATCACTACATAGGTGGCTCAGTAGATGGGGCAATAAACTTGGAATCAGGAAGACTCGTTATTTGTGAATTCAAATCCAGCCTCAGACACTTACTAGATGTATGACCCTGGGTAAGTCACTTAATCCTATTTGCCTGAGTTTCTCATCTATAAAATGAACCGGAGAAGAAAATGGCAAACCACTCCAGTATCTTTGCCAAGAAAACCCCAAATGGGGTCATGAAGAGTTAGACACAATGGAAACCACTCAACACCACTTAACAACACACACAGACACACACACACACACACACACACACATACAGATATGTACATATGTATATGTATGTAACTAAATGTTTAATTACAAATATGCAAATACATGTTTATGTATACTATACATAATAAATATTATATATAAATATATGTAATTTATTTGATTCACACAGTAACCCTGTGATTTAGGTGCTTTTATAATGTAAAATGACAACTGAAGTTGAGAGTTTAAATGATTTACTGAGGGTCACATGGCTAGTAAGTGTTTGAAACAGGTTTCAAACCCAGGTCTTTCTGAGTACAAATCTCACATCATGGTACATATATTTCAAAATTTAAAATTATTAATGATTAAAGCTTCTCTAAAACCTTGGGGTCACCATATATATCTACCCTAAAAATATTTGAAAACCATTCTTAGGTCACAAACCTCAACCTCCTTTTTTTTTAGTCTATTCCATTATCTTAACATCTTTGTCCCTCCCTCAATCAGGAAGTGTACAATTTAAAGCACACCTCCAGCCTTTTTCTGATGCCCAGGACTTCCCACATAAAACAAATACAGAATCAGAATTGACCTGCCTAGTAGTTGTATTGTTGGTTTTATGATCCCCTAGAAGAACCCTCTGTCATGGGTTATTCCTTTTGGCTATTCAAACAGTGGGGGAAATTTCCTGATTAGAGGTAAAGAACTGAAGTCTGGGTAGTGATTTTAACAGCACCATGAAAGCAGAACAGCTCTTCCATGGAAGGCACAGACTTCTCAGGTTTGTTTTTCTTAGAACCTGAATAAGAACCAGCATAAAAATGAAGCCATAATTTCATTACAATGCCCACCATCTTAACTCCTAACCTTGCAAACTCAGTATTTACTTATTTTGCTATCATTTCAGGCAACTCTCTCACTTCTCAGCATAGATCACCGGCTAGATATCATTGGTATAAATGTTCCACATGGCCTTATGTCTGCACTGAAAACTACTGTTTTTTAAAAGTTCAATAAATGTTCCCTGGTGGTGGTCCTATAGTTTGAGTATAGAAATAGCCAAGTGGCATCTTAGCAATGCATACTTTTTTTTTCTACAACTCAGAAAGGAACTGGATTATCACCATTTTCTAGAATGCATCAATTAGGCCTGGTATTGTGACAAGAGTTGCATCAAGAGAATTAAATTCATGCAGATTCAAAACATACTGTTGAGGAAAATTTGAACTCATTCAGTCTCCCTGGATTTTTCAAGACTGATAGAATGAAACAAGGTAGTACAAGGTGCTATACCTAGAATCAGGAAGACAAGTCCAAATTCTGCATGAGACATAAGCTAAGCAATCCACTTAACCTCTGATTGCCTCAGTTTTCTCAGTTTGATCTGTATAATGGGAATAATAATGGCATCTATTTCTCCCTCTCCATAGTTTTGTGGAGATATTTGTGAAACACTTTGCAAACCTTAAAGCACTATATAAATGCTAGCTATTATGATGATGATAATATATAATGGTGTTACAATGTGTTTGTTTATATGATGAAAGGCTATGTAAAATAGCATATGATAAAAATATATCATATGTATATATATACATATATATTTCATCTATATGAATAATGTTTTTAGAAATTTTGAACTGGTTAAATAAAATCAAGGTCCAGAGAAATGGAATGAGTTGCCCACAATGATATATCCAGAATGGAATGGAACCCAAAGCTAAGCCCATGACTCCAGCACTCTCTTCTAAGGAAGTGGTTTCTCTTCAATAATTTATGAGTCACATTGTTTCTCTCCTTAATAAGATTTTTCACTGTGATAGTTCTCAATTTTTGTAAATATAGAAGTATAGGCATTTTAAAATGTTGCCTTTGTGGTATCTTTATCAGCTTTGTTTCTTTGTCAGCTTAGAAGACAAGTTTCTTTCTGTTATCTCTGATAAATGTCAATATTGTTACTGCAGGAGTGACCAAGAGACCCATCCTCAAAACATCCCATCTTCTTTCTGCAACTCAGACTGTAATTGTGATCCCATTCTATGGGATCCTGTCTGTGGGGACAATGGACTCACTTACATGTCCCCCTGTTTGGCTGGATGTAAATCTTCAGTAGGCCATGGAAAGGACTTGGTATGTATGGTGATTGTTGTGTCTTCTGCACCATAATCACTACAAATTTAATTGGGCAATTGCATTCAGTTCAATTAACAACTAAATAGTACAGTAATATGTTCAGTCATAAGAATGATACCATTTGACTTATTGCTGAATGCAGAGACATTATCAAATACATTTGTTCCTAACTGGAGCAAAATATGTGGACACAAAATACCTAAACACCAAACTCTGAGGTCATGCTGTCACATATCTCTTAAATTTATAAATATGTGTGTTTGTATGTGTGTGTACTATTATGACATTCGAAGGTAATATATAAGTAAGAGAATTTCCAGAAAATAAGAAGCCAGAAAAAATGGAATTAATATTCTAGATAAGCAGTAATCCTAGAATAGAAAGTTATTTCTTCTAAAAAGTTTCTACGCTGAGGAATTAATTAGGGATGGGGAGAGGAACACATTTAGTTAAATCTTGATGGTCAGTCAATTGATCAGTTTTGAATGTTCTAATCAATTATCTATGGGTATTTTCACAAACCTATTTTATAGGCACAGTATGAATGAAAGACAGTCTTGAAACTTGCATTTAGCATTGAGTTAAAGAACATAAATCACATGCTGGTAATAATAAACAGGATCTACTATTTGAATATAGCTACTTACTCCTGCTGGAGAAGGAAATGGCAAACTACTCCAGTATCTTTGCTAAGAAAACCCTGAGTGCGGTCACAAAGAGTTAGACATGACTGAAAAGACTGTACAACTCACTCCTAACCTGCATCTGAACCATTGAGGGAACATAGTGAGAATCTTCCAGTGATGCCAATAGCTCTCTGTGTGTTCTAGTCAATATTCCTTCTGGTTTCAGGTAACATATGTAGGCCCAAGGGTGTCCATGCCAAACCAAAAGTATAAAATAGAGCATAAAATAACAATCTCTGCCTTGGGATCACAGCTAGACTTAGTGGAACCTGAGCACTGTTTTTCTCATTGGCCCCCTGACCTCTCAGACCCTGGATCTTGTCTGTCTAGTAGCCTTCTTTAGATTATTTCCTTAGACTCCACTTCCTATTTACAACAGAGCCAGTGTGGTAGAAGAGAAAATATTAGCTTGGGAAACAAGAGACCTGGTATCTAATTCCTGTCCTTCTACTGACTAATTGAATGACTTTGAACTAATATCTTTACCCTATACGCTATCAGATTTATCATGTATAAAATTAAGGGACTTGGACTACATGATCTCTAAAATTCTTTCCAATTTTAAAACTTCCAAACTTATATAAATCTTAGAAACTGTTATATCTTTGCTGACTCACCTGCCTCCTAGTTTTAGCCCCTCATGGGTAGTCTAGTTCCATTGCCTTGCTGTGCCCAGTGTCTCACAATCAACATTAAATCAACAAATATTTATTAAATACTTACTATGGAGCACTGTACCTTGGTCCTGGGAATACAAATATAAAAACGAAACAATTCCTGTCCCCAGGGAGACTACATCCTGTCAGGGAAGACAATATGCATGCCTCACCCCAAATCAAAAACTGTGTCCTAAAGGGCCTAATTAATCCTTTAATCCTCCCTCACCAAACTCTTGCCCAAAAGCCATTGGTCCTCATTAATGGTTGCCTCTGCTTCCTATTGTATCTAAGTCTGGCCTTGGTGGTGCTTTACTTCACTCCCTGGACATCAGATGCCTAGCTGTCAAGCATGTGCCCTGCCCTACACCTTCTACTGCTCAAACAATAACCAAAGTAACTTTGTCATAGCAGCAAGAATGAGCCTATCAATTGATTTCCTATTTCCATGTGGTTCCATTCAGACTCCCTGTAACTTTCCAAAACAAAATACACTTCCTTTCCCCTCACTTTTTTATGAGTTGTACTTCACTCTTTGAACATAAGACCCTTGAGGACAAAGATGGTATTTCCTTTTTCTAGTTTAATTTTATCTGCAGCCCTACCACATTGTCTGGCACATGATAATAATCAACAAATGCTTTTTTGTTTAATTCATTTTTTCGTCCATATAACTATAGGCAAAATATATTCAATATAAAGACAAGATCATTTTAAGAAAGAAGAGAAGAACCTGAGTTCAAATTCAGCCTCAGACACATAACACTCACCAGCTGTGTCACTCTGGGCAAGTCACTTAACCCCAATTGCCTAAAGAAGAAAAGAAAGAAAGAATAGAGGTCCTATCAGCTGGGAAGGTTAGGCTACAAAAGGGCATTGTGTGCATGATACATACACAAATATAACAAATCTCTTTTTCCTTTGTGCAGATAGAATTGTAATCACATATAAAAATGCTCACCAAATCTTGATACACAGTAACAGCTACTTGAATAAGGTATATGTATATACATAGTAGTGAGCTGATAGTCCTACTTAACAAGAAGGTGAGAATGGTTTTAGGCAGAAATGAGTGAAGTTAGCTAGAGATGAGGTGTTAACTGTGAGTAAAAGGAGTATAGAAAGTTAGGTTTAAATGATCAGCTAATGGTGCTCCGTTTGCATTTTAGACATTACACACTAACTTGTTAATTTTTCAGTATAATGAGTAAAAAGTAATAGTTGCTTCCAAATATTTTTCATTAATAGCTCAGACCATGGAGAATAAATGAAATGGTCTGGGAAACCTATTTACCTTTCAAATCATCACAGTAGTAGCGGAAAGGACACTAAATTGGGAGTCAGAAAACCTGAGTTCAAACTCCAGTCTTGCTACTTATTATTTCTATGATCCTGATCAATTCAATTCCTTCTATGAGTTTCAGTATCCTTATCTACAAAATAAGGATTTGGTGGGCATTTTTAAAGATAATCTCTAAACTTAACACCATGATCAAATGAAAGACTATATCTACCAAAGGAGATTTTAGAATTCTCCAATATTTACTTTAGTTGATGGATAGTTCCTTTTTTAATATAAAGAAATGTTTTAAGTCCTGTGTTGTGTTTTATAAATGAATTTTATAATAATTTTTTAAATTATTTTTAGGTCTTTCATAACTGTAGCTGTATTGAAGCTAATCATTTCCAGTCCAGAAAAGCCTCAGCTCATTTGGGCCAATGCTCAAGGACAGATGATTGTTCAAGAAAGTTTATTTATTTTATGACAATGCAAACTTTGAGCTCTTTCTTTTTTGGATTAGGAGGTTCCCCTAAAATTATGCTGGCTTTTAAGTAAGTAATGTAAAAATCATCATTGTTTATATGATTCTACAAATAATTCTCTCTTTTATGAAGAATCAAACAGATTAAAAGATATACTGACCTTATTTATTTTCATTAAAATAAAGAAATGCTGGATTGACAGAATTCAGTGTTTCCCAAGAATTATATCCTGAGGTTTTTTCCCCCATACAGATACTTTGGGGGTGGGGGGAATTGTTGTTTGTCTGCCTGGGTGTTGTTGTTTTTCTTTTTATTTGTTATACAGTGGAAGTTTTTGCATTATGGTAAAAATGCAAACTATGATGCTAACATTAGCTGGTATAATATCTTTCAAAAAATTTGTGGGTTTATTTTGATTGTTATATCATCATGATGATATAACTTTCAAGAAATGTAAGTGACCAAAGGTTTATAGATTTCACAGAATCTTCAGGTTTTCACATCATCAATACATCAAGAAAGGAGTTGTGAAGGCACTGACTATATGGAGCACCAAACAATATCACTAAGATTAAAACTAAGTATATCTTTACCAAAAAGGAAAGGACTGTTGATTGTCTGAGAGTCTCTTTGAAATCAGCTTATTTCAGAACTGGGGATATGCACTCTAGAGAAAAGAAATTAGGTTGAAATACTAATTCTTCTTCAAGTATTTTAAGGCCCATAGCATGGAAGATAGACTAGACTTCTTAGCCTCCAGGATGAAGAGCTAGAAACAATAGGTGATAGTTGCTGACCAGCAGATTTAAGCTTGACGTAAAAAGCACCTTCCTAACAATTAGAACTAGAACAAATTAGAACAACTAATTCAAAAGTGGTACTGGATCCCTCGGAAGACTGCACATTTCCTTTCTCTGTAGAAGAGCACATGTTGGAGAAGGAGCGTTCTGTGATCCTTTCCAATTCTTATTCTGTGACTCTGCAAAAAAATCATATCATTGTCTACTTAACATGAAAGCAAAAACTAATGCCAAATTAACTGAAAACATCAATCAATTAACAAATATTTATTAAGACTTATTATGTTCCAGACACTGTATAATCTCTGAGGGTACAAAGACACAGCAAAAACAGTCCTTGTCCTCAAGGTGTTTACTTTTTAATGGGAGAGACAACATATATCAATCTGACCATATCAGATAAGTGTAAAATTGATGGAAGATAATTATATAGGGTGTGGCACTGAAAGCTAGAGAAACCAAGAAAGACATCCAGAAGAAGGTGGCACTTGAACACTCCAGGCATGAAGAAGAAAGAGTGAGAAGTCACTGAGATGGAAGATGGTATGTTGTGGGAGAGGACCAGAAAATAGGCCAGTATGGCTATATTATAGAGGACATAGAGGAGAATAGAATGTAAGAAGATTAAAAAGTAGAAAAGAATTAATTGATGAAGAATTCATTAGATTTGCCAAATAAGATATCATCAGTAACTTTCAAAAAAAATAGTTTTAGTTGAATGCTAGATTGCAATGGGTTTAGAAGATGGTAAAAGAAGAAGCATTGATTATAGATTGCTTTTTCAAGGTCTTTAGCTGAGAAGAGGATGGGAGATAGGGAATGATTGCTGGAAAGCAGGGCAGGATCTAGGAAAGTTTTTTTTAAGGATAGAGAAGAGTTTATTTGATTGTAGGCAGAAGGGAAGGAACCAGGATATAGGGAGAGATTGAAAGTTAGAGAGTGAATGGGGATAATGGTGGAGGCAATCTATTAGAAAAGACAAAAGTGGATAGGATGTAAAGGGGTTGGCCTTAGCAATCAGAAGGAACATTTCATTATCAGATATTATAGTAAGCTAATAGATATAATGAGATGATGTCAGAGAGATATTCCATGAGAAGGAGTACAGAAAAAGGAGCTCTTGGTTAATTACCTCATTATTTTGGTGAAATATGAAGCAAAGTCCTTAGGAAAAGGTATTGAGAGAGGAAATAACTTGAGCGACTTAAGAAAAGAAAAAAAGGTTTGGGACAGCTGATGTATTGAGTGGATTAGGGAATCCACTAAGAATAAGTATTAGGATTCACTTCCTGTAGTATGATGCCTGTTTAAATTAGCTGGAATAAATTTGTAGTAGACCTAGTAAACACAGTTTAGTGATTCTTTCCAGTTACTGTAAGAAGCATGTGAATAGAGAAGACAAAGATATTGGCAACTCCATGCTAGACTTTGAAAGTAAGCTGAAAGTAGTTTGTTGAGTGTTTTTAAGTGTGTCACCTCTAGAAGTCTTTATTTTTGTATGTATCTAGTCTGGCTTAGACATTTTCCAAGATTTTATTTCTTACCTGCTGTGACTCCTTCCTCACATAGTACAGTTGGATGCTAAAAGGACAGAGTGCAAAAATGTAGGAGGATGGAGTCAAGATAGTAGAGTGAGAGTCAGTATTTTTGCCCAGCTCACCCAGCATAGCTCCAAAAAAACCTGTGAAATGTGCTGTGCTGAATTCTGATCAGGAAAGTTAAAAAAAAAAAACTCCAAAGTGAGTTTTCTCCAGCCCAGATAGACAGAGAGATCTAAGGTATGAGAACTGGCCAGGAACACCACTAGCATAGCAGTAATAAAGGTAATGGTAGGGAACATCTTAGTGCCTAGGGGCAGTAAGAGGACTAAGACTGAAAACCAGGTCTGGAATCACCAAGGCAGATAAAGATCCCAGAAGACCCTTGAATCCTTGAAATATAGCTCTGGAAACAGGAATGGGTACTAGCTGGCAGCTCTGTCACCCACTGCCCTATTCTGGATCACAGTTCCAGGGAAAGGAGGGAGTGATCATGGTCCCAAGCAAGAGAGGTAATACCTGTGTATAGAGCAAGGAATAAGTTTCAAGATTTTAGCTATGCGGCTCTGTGTCTAAGAGCAAAGAGGGTACTCCATTATCAGGACAGGAAACCAACACCAAAGGAGAGTCAAGCATTTCAGTCACTCTGAATATGCAGAACCTTACACTGGTCTAATAATTGAGACTAGTAGCAGTTAGTCTACTGAAACTCAGTCTCACAGACACAAAAAAAAATCCAACAGACCTAAACCAGAGCCAGAAACTTTCAGAGATTGTATCAGAAAGCCAGTGAACAAACCTCTCCCCACAAGCACTGAAACTTACAAGCACTGAAGACTTATAGGCCCACAGACTAAGCTGTAAAAACAACATGAAGATATAAAAAAATAGAGGCTTAAGCCAGACATCCCTCCTGAAGTGAGAAGAGCCCAACACTAACATAAAGGCCAAAGTCAATAGTAGGTGGAAGAAATGAGCAAATGACAACAACAACAAAAAGAATTTAATCATAAAAAGCTACTATAGTGACAGGAAAGCTCAAGACAAACAGAAGAAGACAATGACTTGTAAACATCCACAAGCAAAGCCTCAAAGAAAAGTATAGCTTGGACACAAGCCCAATAAGAATTCTTAGAAGAATGTGTGTGTGTGTGTGTGTGTGTGTGTGTGTGTGTGTGTGTGTGTGTAAACAACAAAAAATTTAAACCAAATACAAACAGTAGAGGAAAAAAATTGACAAAAAACGAGTTTTGCAAGAAAGGTATGAAAAAAGAATTAATAGCTTAGTAAAAGAGGTACAAAACATTATGAGAGAAAATGATTCATTAAAAACTAGAATTAGCCAAATGGTAAAAGAAGTCCAAAACTTTACCAAGGAAAATAACTCCTTAAAAATAGAACTGGACAAACAGAAGCTAGTGACTCCATGAAATATCAAGAAATAGTTTTAAAAGACAAAAACAAAGAATAAAATGTGAAATATATCATAGGAAAAACAACTAACCTGGAAAATAGAATAAGGAGATATAATTTAAGAAGTAAACCACCTGAAAGCCATGAACAAAAAGTCTAGATATCATATTTCAAGAAATTATAAAGGAAAATGGCTCCATTTCAGAAGAAGAAATCAAAGTTATCAATAGTCATACAAAAAAAATGCTCTCAATCACCAATAATTGGAGAAATAAAATTAAAAGACCTTTAAGGTACAACCTCACACAAATCAGATTGGCTAAGATGACCAAAAATAAAAGGAAAATGACAGATACTGGCAGTGGTATGGGAAGATTAGCCCACTAATGTACTCTTGGTAGAGCTGTTAACTAGTCCACCATTTCAGAAAGTAATTTGGAATTGTCCCCTATGGATATTAAATTGTACATATCCTTTGACCCAGCAAGACTGCTATTAGGGCAAGAACATCAAAGAAAGAGGAAAAGGACCAATATGAACAAAAATATTTAGAGCAGCTCTTTTTGTGGTAGCAAAGAATTGAAAACTGAGAGGATGCCCATCAATTGGAGAATGGCTGAACAAGTTATAATAATATATGACTAATGGAATACTATTGTGCTATAAGAAATGATGAAAAGGATGGTTTCAGAAAAACTTGGGAGGATCTGTATGAATTGATGCAATATGGTGTTAGCAGAATGAGGAGAACAGTCTACAACACAAGAGCAATATTGTAAAGATAATCAACTTAGGAAGCCTTAGTAACTTTGATTTACACAATGACCCACCATAATTCCTAAAAGACTCATGGTAAAACATGCTCTCCACCTATGGATAGAAAACTAATTGACTCAGAGTACAAATTGAAGCATATTTTTCTTTCTTTCTTTTTCTTCCTTTTTTAAATTTTGAAAATTAGCTTATGTGGGAATTTATTTTGTGTGACTACATATTTTAATGGGTTTCATTTTTCTTGCCTTCAACATGGGTGGAGTATGGGGAGGAAAAGAATTTGGAACTGAAAATTTGGGTAAAAATCCCTAAGCTTTAAAAAAGAAGATGAAACAATGAGGCAAACAAACAATAACAAAAAAAGCAGACAATTTTAGTCACTGGGGAATGCTTAAAGACTTTTTGAGTCCTATGTTACATATGCCAATGGAAATTGCATCATTTTAGAGCATTATGTAGTCAGAAGAGTTGCCCATATTGCATGTATGCAAAATTCACTAAGAATGGTGTTTGTTTGTCACATAATTTGATAATCTGGAGTTGTCTTACTACTCTTTGTTTTTATTTTAGGAATGTTGAGCCTGAACTGAAATCACTTGCACTGGGTCTTCATTTCCTGGTTTTACGAGCAATAGGTATAAGATGCATACATATATGTGTATGTGTTTATGCTTTATTACAAGCTCATCAGCTCTTAAAATGTTTATGAAATTGAATGCACCACATATTTTAAATGAGAGAAATTGTGTTAGAGATTAGAGATACTAGGACTTAAAAAGACATAGTTCAGGCCCTCAAGAGGCATACAACATAATGTGGCAAAGGAAGTACATGTACATAAATATGATACAAAATAGAGGCAAAATACAGATCCAAAGAGTTCTAGGAAAAATTGAAGAGGGGAGCAGAAAAGCTATTGTTTTCAACAGGTGAAATCGATGAGAGTTTCATGAAAGAAGTGACTTCTGAGCTTGGCCTTGGAGAATGATTTCAATAGTCTAATGAAGAGGAGAAATTGAATTCCCAACAAGAAAAAAATAATGTACTGGATGCACAGAGGTGGGATAAAACAATGCAAGGTCAAAGGACAGATAGTGACCCAATGTAGCTGAAATAAAAAGTGAGCAAAGAGAAGAAGTATAAGTACAAATGGAACATTTGCTTAGAATCATATTGGAGGCTTTTAAAATTCAAGCTGAAGACTGAATTTTGTTCTAGACAGAGTCACTGAAGTTGGGGGGTGAGGTTTTGATTATTTATTGTTTGTTTGTTTCTTTTTTAAGCAGGAGAGTGACCTGGTCAGACCTATGCATTAGGAAGTTTATTTTGGCAGTTTTGTGAAGGATATCCTGGGGAAGAGAGAGACTGAATTCAAGAAGAACAATTGGGAGATTATTATGGGAGTTGAGGCAAAAGGTTATGAAGGTCTGAATTTGGGTGGTTGCTGTGAGTATAGATAAGAAAATGGATTTGAGAGATATGGAGGTCAAGCCAACAAGCCTTTCAGCTGATCTGATATGAGGTTGATGGAAATAGAAGATTCAAAGATGAACTGTTTTGAATGTGAATAGCTCAAGGATAATCACCAACAGAAAGTAAAATTGGAATGAGGGAAAAAGTTCAAACAATTACAGAATGTCAGAGCTGACATGGATCTTAGAGATCATTTAGATGAGCCCCCTTGTGATTTTTGACAAATATTTTTCTTGATGGTCTTTTCTAACATTTCCTGATGACTCTTCTCTAACTAAAAACAAAACAAAACAAAAGAAAACACACCCTTGTAACAAAGAAGTAAAAATAAAGCAAAGCAATGCATTGGCTATGCATAACAATGTATATTTCCATATATATACACATATATGTATATTACATATACATATGTGTGTGTGTGTGTGTATACATATATATATTCCATGCCCTTTCTTCAGAGAAAGGGAAGGCATGAAGTTGCATACTAACTGAACCTTAGAATTGTGGACCTTAATGGCCATTAATCTAACCCATGCCCAAAGAAAAACTTCACAACACTACACTTTTGAAATTGTAATCTATCTGAAGATATTCAGTGAAGGTGAAGAGTCACTATTGGCAGCCTATTTCATTTTAGGATAGCTATAATTGTTAGATAACTTTCACTTACATCAAGCTTCCATTTCCACCTTTGTAATTCCTGCCCTTTATTCTGAATTCTTCCTTCTTCAGCCAAAGAGAGAAAATCTAATCCCTCTTTCCTCAATACTGAAAGATATCTATCATACCTCTTCCCTCTGCTCCCAACCTTCTCTTCTCTAAACTAAACATACCTTGTTGCCAAGCCATGGTTGGTCATTGACTAATGGACACTTACAGTTGAAAGGGTGTGAAGGAGGATTCAGTGAAAAAGATGGCAAAGGAGTGGTCAGATAGGTAGGAGGAAAACCAGGAGGCCATAGTATCTCAAAAACCTAAAGAAGAGAGAGTATTAAGGAGGAAAGAGTGATCAACCATGTCAAAGGCTGCAGAGAAGTCAAGGAGAATGAGGATTGAGAAAAGAACATTGGATTTGGCAACTAAAAGATCACAGAAACTTTGGAGAGAGTAGTGTTGGTAGAATAATAAGGTTGGAAGTCAGAGCATAAGGAAACATAGAGTGAAGAGTAGAGGCTCTATTATAGATGGCCTTTTTGAGGATTTTAATTATAGAGGGCAGAAGAAAAATAGGATAATAGTTAACGGGAATGGAAGGAACAAGTTACGGTTTTTTTAAGGTAGGAAAGATAGGGACATGTCTTGTAGACAGTAGGAAAGAAGCCAGTAGAGAGAGATTGAAAATAAGTTACAATGGGGATGACAGAGGTGGAGGAGATGGGATAGAAGGGATCACTTGAACAAGTAGAAGGGTTATTGTTGGTAAAGAGGAAGGCTACTTCATCATATGAAACAGAGGAGAAAGTAACAGAAGACACTTGAGTGATAGGAGATGAGGAAGAGAAGAGAAAAGGGAGCTCATGGTGAATGGCCTCAATTTTTCTGTAAAATATGAGGCAAGGTTCTCAGCTAAGAGAATAGGGGGAGTCATGGGAAATTTGAAGATGGATGGAAATGTTTGGAAGAGAAACTGTGGCAAGTGAGATAGTGAGTTGATAAGAGAGGTATAGTAGAATTGAAGCGGATCCACTCAAAACAGTTTCATGTCTTTTTCTACCTTCATTCAGGAACATACATGCAGTTTTGAAGGTGAAATGGTGGGAATAATCCAAGGCTGAGGCTTGGCCAGACATAATTGGTGGTAGGATAAAGAGGCTAAGTATTCAAGAGAGGAGGACAGTCTACAGGTGAATTGGTTCACCAAGGAGTCAAGATGGGGAGAAAGAAAAGAGTTGCTAGTATAGAGTAGAAGGCCCGAGAGAGAATTGAGGTGTCAAGGGATTGGAGATCACAAAAGTGCAGAGTTATGTAAAGGAAGGCAGAGGAATAGGTAAAAGACAAATAGATTAAGGTCAAGTAATTGGTAGAAAGTTATACCTTTGTTTCCTCATCACCTATCCTAATTCCTTCCATTTCTTTTTGTTATTTTATTGCTATAGCTAACATTTCTAGTACAATATTAAATAACAGTGATGATAATGGACATCTTTAATTCACCCCTGAACATAATGGGGAGGATTCTAGTTTATCCTATTACAGATAATTCTTGCTCTAGATATATTGATATACATATATGATATATATATATATCATTCTAGATATATATCACTTATAATTTTAAGAAAAATTCCATTTATTTCTGTGCTTTCTTGTGTTTTTAGTAGAAATGGGTATGTTTTTTGTCAAAGGCTTTTTCTGCATCTACTGACATAATCATATGATTTTTGTTGTTTTTGTTATTTGTATTGTCTGTTACGCTTGTAGTTTTCCTAATATTGAACCAGCCCTACATTTCTGGTATAAATTCCATCTGGTCATAGTGTTTTATCTTCATGATGTATTGCTGTAATCACTTTGCTAGTATTTTATTTAAAAAAATTTTGTATCAATATTCATCAGGAAATTGGTCTTTAGCTTGCTTTCTATTTTTTTTTTTGCTTCAGCTATCAGCACCATATTAGTGTCACAAAAGCAATTCAGTAGGACTCCTTCTTTACTTATTTTTCCAAATAATTTTTACAGTATTAGAATTAATTGTTATTTAAATGTTTGGTAGAATTCACTTGTAAATCCATCTCATCCTGGGGATTTTTTTTAGGAAGTTCAGTTTTTATTTAGTTAATTTCTTTTTCTAAGATAAGTTTGTTTAACTACTTTTCTTTCTTTTTTGGCTAATCTGGAAAATTTATGTTTTTTGTACACTTTCATCCATTTCACTTATACCATTAATTTTATTGGTATATAATTGGGCAAAATAGCTAATAATTGCTTTAACTTCATCTTCATTGGCGATAGGTATAGTTACCCTTTTCACTTTTGATAATGGTAATTTGTTTTTCTTTTTTTAAAAATCAAATTAACAAAACAATCTATTTTATTGGTTTCTTCATAAAACCATCTCCTTTCAATTTGTTTTACTTTTACTTTCAATTTTTTATTTATTTTCAGAATTTCTATTTTTGTATATTTGGGGATTTTTAATTCATTCTCTTTCTAGTTTTTTTTTAAGATGTATGCCTAATTCATTAAAATCTGCTTTTTCTCTCTTTTATTGATGTAAACAATTTAGAGATATAGATTTTCCCCTAAGCACTACTTTGGCTACATCCCACAAATTTTGGTACGTTGTCTCATCTCATTGTTATAATTATTCTTGATGAATTTATTTATTGTTTCTATGAGTTATTCCTTGATCCACTCATTCTTGAGGAGCAGATTATTTAGTTTCCAATTAATTTTTAATCTATCCTTCCACAGCCCTTTATTTGATGTAGTTTTATTGCATTATGGTCTGAAAAGAGTGAATTTAATATTCACCTTTTGTGCATTTGTTTGTGAGGATTTTATGCCCTAATACAAGGTCAATTTTTGTAAAGGTCACATGTACAACTGAAAAAAAGGTTTACTCCTTTCTATTCTCATTCAATTTTCTCCAGAAGTCGAGCATTTCTAACTTTTCTAAAATTCAATTTACCTTACTAACTTCTTTCTTATTTATTTTGTGGTCAGAGTTACCTAGTTCTGAGGCAGAAGGAGGTCCCCACTATACTTTTGCTTTCACTATTTCCTCCTGTAACTCATTTAACTTTCCCTTTAAGAATTTGGATACTCTGCCACTTGGAACAGATATGTATAGTAATATCAATTCACTGTCTATGGTACCTTTTGGCAAAATGTAGTTTCTCTTGTTATCTCTTTTAATTAGGTCTATTTTTGCTCTTGCTTTGTCTGAGATCATGATTGTTACACTTACCTTTTTTAACTTCAGATGAAGCATTATAGATTCTACGTGCAGCCCCTTATTTAACACTCTCTGTGTGTCTTTCTGTTTCAAGTGTGTTTCTTCTAAACATATTGCTAGATTCTGGTTTCTAATCCATTCTGCTGTCTACTTCCATTCTATGGATAAGTCCATCCCATTCACTTTCACAGGTGTGATTACCAACTGTATATTTCTGTCCTGTTTTCTTCTGTTTATACCTCTCTCTCTTTTTTTCACCCTGTT